GTTTAATCTTATTATTGATCTTACAGTGTTTGATCTTACAGTGTTTGATCTTACAGTGTTTGATCTTACAGTGTTTGATCTTACAGTGTTTGATCTTATAGTGTTTAATCTTATAGTGTTTAATCTTATTATTGATCTTACAGTGTTTGATCTTACAGTGTTTGATCTTACAGTGTTTGATCTTACAGTGTTTGATCTTACAGTGTTTGATCTTATTATTGATCTTATAGTGTTTAATCTTATTATTGATCTTATAGTGTTTAATCTTATAGTGTTTAATCTTATTATTGAACTTATAGTGTTAAATCTTATAGTGTTTAATCTTATTATTGATCTTATAGTGTTTGATCTTATTATGGATCTTATAGTGTTTAATCTTATTATTGATCTTATAGTGTTTGATCTTATTATGGATCTTATAGTGTTTAATCTTATTATTGATCTTACAGTGTTTGATCTTACAGTGTTTAATCTTATTATTGATTTTACAGTGTTTAATCTTACAGTGTTTAATCTTACAATGTTTGATCTTACAGTGTTAAATCTTACAATGTTTGATCTTACGTTTAATCTCATTTTTGATATCAATGTAAGCTGTTGCTGTTGTAGCTCCAAAACCCACCACCTTACACGATAGAGAAAGAAGACGCGTACCTTCTTCAGTGTAGTTAATCGCGCGAACATTCCTTCCTTCTTCATCCACGCGGTGTTCTCTGAAGTAAAAAAAAAAATCAAGTTCCCAACACACACTTTAGGCAAGTAAATAAATAAATAAATAAATAAATAAATAAATAAATAAACACATATTTGTCTGGTCAAAAAAATCAGAGAAACATATTTTTATGGACAGTCTCCAAATTTACTTGCAGTGAAGAACTAGGTATAAAAAATAGGCTTTTGAAATTGTTGAGATTGGAGTCCTTTTAAAGACTCAGACTAGCAACTAACTCATTTTACTTTTAGGATTTTAAAATATCTTGTTGTTTGAGTGCCAAAAAAGCAGCCAAGTTTTCTAAGCTTTAAACGTCTCCCTGGGGCAAACAACCTGAATATCTTGTCACATTTTGAAATCAACGCATACACTTATAAACATAAAAGTAAAACTGACTTCAACACCAGGAGAACCAGCAGGATGTTGACGAGGCCGAAAGCCGCGGCCAGTAAAGCCGGGGTCGTGTACATGTTGAGCTGAAGGTCCAGGAAGTCGAGCGTGACGCCGTTTTCACCGATGAACGACAGACCTGCCTGTAGAGCTGAAGACACAGTCATGAAATACAGAAATTTATTTTTTATTCTCTATCCATCATTCAGCTAGTACCAGGCCCGAGGATGAAACCCAGAGCCTGACAGGCGCTCATGTTGGCCATGGCGCTGGTCCTCTCCTTCAGTGACGTCGCCCCTGCAACGTACGACCTCACCACGGCAACATTACCTGCCATAAAAAACATGTTAATGAATTGGAGACATTTTTGTTAAATTATATTAGTCTATAATAAAAGACATTAAAAGTATTCACCTGCGCCGAAGCCCACAAAGGCTCTGGACATGAGCATGTGGTACTTGTTGTTGGTTTTGGGCAGGTAAGCGTAAGCGTAGTAGATGTTGGCCGACAGGTTGATGAAGATGGAGCAGACGAGCGGCTCCCGGGCCGGGCGGTGATTCGACCACCAGCCGAAGAGAGGCGAGGCCGCCATCTGCCCCAGACTGTAGGCTGCCACCATCCAGCCCAGGAAGCTCGCATCGGCGCTGCTGTCCACCTGAAAACAAACAAGTAAATAAAAACTTTTTCTTATCTCTGAATTCAGTTTCTGTGAAAATATAGTTGCTTAACTGCATTTTTTTAGATTATCTGCTTTTTGTAAACAAAGGTTCATATGTCCAGGTTAATTCCACTTCACTGTCCTTTTACTAACATGTAACACAACCAAAATGTTGTCAGATTCTCTAGTTTCAGTTTGACTCGTGAAC